TGCAAGCAAGTAATGTCAAGTCAATCTTACTATGACATTTTAGAACTGATCATGGTTTAGAGCTGACAACAAAATAATCAATCGTCGATGAGAACTTCTTTACCTAAACATTTCTTGCACAAATATGAAGCATGTCAGAGGTACTGAATTTGTTGGTAGCAAGAAAACCAAACAAGAGTGGCTATATGCTGAACTAATTGCCGTCAATTAAAAAAAAAAAGAAAAAAAAAAAGCAAGGCCTGCGATTAATTATATGCTAGGAATTACGGATACTTGTAAATTTATTGCATACATGCATTCAGTAAGTATTCAATCTTGAATGCGCTAGGATAGGCTCTGATACGTACTGTATCCCTTTTTTTAATTTTTATATTTTTTAAAATTTCAATTCATATTGGACGCATTATGACGCTTAAAGAATACAAGTTTTATTGGTTTTAAACTCTTTAAAAACTAGTTATTATAGGTGAATAGATGACAAAGTATTTCTTAATAGATAACTATGGTTATTATTAATAACTTATTGAAAATGGGTATTGTTTATTAATTATCAATTTCAAAGAAAGTAAATATGTTGTAAGATAATAAATTAATTACATAATTTGAACTTATTATTGAAGATAGATATATAGTATTAAATAATTGACAACTAGAGCTTTATTATTAAAAATAAATAATAGTATATGGTAACATAACCTTTTAAATGGCCACATGAGTGGGTTTATATAGGGGTGGAAGTGGAGTATTGACTGTTTGATGAGAAGATACGTGGTTGCAATGAATTATTTGATACCTACAGGACTTAAGAAAATCCACTTATCATTCAGAGAACATATATTGTCTACCATTATTCCATATTATTTTTTCTACATTGCTCATTTTTAATCACACATTCTATATTAAAATAATACTACACGTAAATCAAAAACTTTTCCTTCTTTTTTAACCACAAATTTCAACATCAATCACTATTCCATAATACATTCTTCACAAATAATGGGGGCACAAACACCCCGTAATAACTTTTATAGTACTATAAGAATGAAAAACAAGTGCAAATATGACACATGGCATAAATATTCAAATAATTTCGTGTATGTAGATGGCAAGTGAAAGTGGCGAGGGAACATAACCACTCCACTCTTTTTTCGGAGTAATATCACCATTGCAGGAATTGTGTTACGATTGATGAAGAAGCTTCGTATTCATGATCCATCCATTGAAAAATCAAATTGAAGTTCAAAATCCTGAATATGAATATGCCTTCGACCAAAATACGTGTTGGTACATTTCAATTCATAAGGAAACTGTTCATTGTGTTAGTCTTCAGAAAATGAGCTTCCTATTGGTCTGCACATAATGAGGAATATCAGTTTCGAAGATCTTTTATTTGTTTTCGATGAAGGTTATGAAAATTTACATGGTCCAAAGGTTGAAAACATTGTTAACGGTGATGAGCAACTGTCACCACATTACACGGCATTGGACATAGACGAAGTGGTTACAATTGTCGTATAGAGGACATTTTGTGCACATAGATGTTCGTGACAAAGGTATGATGTTTTAATAGATTAGATCTCCCTATACACTAGAAATTCTAGGATATTAATGAAAGATTTATTTTTAGATTTGTTGTACTCTTCTTACGTTAGTTCATAATAACTCTGAATTTTGCGCAAAATAACATAAACTGCGTGTACATGACAATTAACCTAAATAATTTTCCAAATAAATATAAAAACAAGACATCAACGTAAAAACCTTCAAAATATCACAAATTACAATTTCAAAACAATACACATTTTTTTCTAATAAAAGAAATCATATTATTTCATGTTATTTCCTCTCTTTTTACCACTCCTAGTGTAGGGGTCCGATTTGATACTGACAGTATTCGGATGTGAGTCGAGCGCCACTTCATTATCACCACTGCTACTTCATTTTCAATTGTGTCACAATAATCGACATTGTTATATCTTACAACTCCTAGTTGTAATCGATTTTTGGCTGCATGTTAATCTTGTCACAATAATCGACATTTTCAACTATGTCACAATAAGGGACAATGTTATTCCATTCATTTTCAAATCAAAACAATAACATTAGTTACATTTTTAACCCTCTTCCTACCTTTCCTAGTGAATGGAGTCCAGGTCTATCTAGTCGATAATCAAATGCACCTCGATCGTGTCCATGTCATTCAGGCAATCCTCCAAAAGCATAGTCGTTCATTCTTCTAAGAAAATATGATATGAATATTATTAGCACAGACGAATTACACATGAGGAAATAACAAGGGCCAGATTATGATATGTCCTACAGTTAATTTATATTCATAACATATGTAGAAGAGCGGCTGAACCAAAATATGACATATAAACAAAAATTGTCGAGAAAAATGAAATAACCATAAAAAATTCTAGAACATAACCATAGAGAATGATAGTTTATCTCGAAATGATTCTGTAACTATCAAAATGACAGTTAATCCCAACAATGAGTTCCATAATAACTACATGTAAAGCCTCCATTTGCTAACGTGAATAAATAGTTTGAGGATTACAAGTGAGACTAACTGTATATGACGGCAAAACTAAATTTACAACATCATGGAACAAGAATCGATGTAAACAATAACCTCCAAAACAATCATAACACTTAGTTTTTTTATATGAGCTTGCCATTTTAACAGAAGCCAAGATAAAATAATCCCCATGTAGATGAATAATAAGTGCATTTTTACACACTTTTTTGGTCACAAAACATGACTAATTGTTGATCAAAGCATTTGGATTATGTCTTAATTTTGTATAATTTCATTTTGTAGGACTATATCAATAGATATTATGGAATTCAAGAGAAAAGAGAAGAAAAATGACCAAGATGGAAGAAAATGAAAGTTTGAGAACCAAGTGCAAATAGCCAGAAGATGAACCGAAAGAAAAAATGACGATGTGAAAAACTCAAGGACAAATTTAGTGAGGACTTGATGTATTAGGAGAAAAAAGAGAAAAAGGAACTAAAAGAATCAAGAATTGAAATTGGGAATCAAAATGCAATATTTAGAAGTTTTTATAACTGGGTGATTGCCTAGTTATTTAGGGTGGGTGACTATCCAACATCAAGGAACAATTACCGAGGCTAAAAAGTTAGCCTTTGCAGTTGCCCAACCGAATCGCAGTGAAAAAAATTCTATTCTGAATGAAATTCTTATGAAAACAAATCTTGTGAAGTACTTTAAAATCCTAGGGCCGTACTTAAGCAAGGGAGGATGCATTCTAACCTATTCCCAAGGATTTTGAGAGCATAGAACAAGGCAAGAAACTCGAATAACAACCTGAAGACGTGAAGATTCAAATCAACAATTAATTGGGGGTGATGTTACTTATTCCAAATTTGTTTTGTTTTCTTACTTCCACTATGCTAGGCTAGATTTTTATATACTAGGAGATCGATAAACTTGTGATAGAACTTTTTAATTTCTAGTTTTGCAATTTTGACATCAAAACATATTATGCAATTGTTGAATGATTTATATATAATTAATGTCTTCCATGACTATGTGCACGTAATTGTGTGAGTGTGGTGACTTATTTTATGCATTCAAGAGAAGAAGAATAAGTTCGACAGGCTATAAATCATCATAGGTTCGATAGGGGATATAAATATACCTCTATGTCTTGTGTAAATTTTTAAGTGTTCACAAAATCACATGTATTCTTGTATATTTGCATCTGTCATAGAAATATAGGCTGGTGGTATATGAGAATAGGTTCAACATTACTCGAGAAAGATTGTTGAATAGATTTAGGAGTATTTAGTCTTCAAAAATTCAATGTATTGTCAAATAGTGGAACTAGGGTTAAAAGTGAGCATTGTTTGGAGATTCGTGATCCTAGCGCACTTTCCATTCATTAATTATGCCAATCTTGCTTTTAAAACGTAACTTTGCATTTTAGTTCATTAGATTCACTTTCAATTGCATATTTAATCTAGGTTAGGATTAATCAAGTCACATTTATCTTGTCGGATAATTTAGTTTTCGATTATGGCTGAGATAGATAGAATTAAACTATTCAAACTCTATGGGATGACATTCGGACTCAATTTTTCATTTTATTACTTGTTGCGAACCGTACACTTGTGGATACAAATTGAAAGAATAATTTCGTGAAGAACAAACAATGGAAGAATTGAACATTTCTTATTTATTTCCTTGATTAAAATTAATAAAATCATCAAATTTATTTATGAAATAACATTTTACTCATAGGAGAAAATCACATGCATAAAACAATGAAGAAAAATAGTACATCCAAAATATTTGAAAGAAGAAATACAAAGATTCAGACTTTCCATTTTGTTGCTGCATTGTCCATTCATGTAGAGATAAACCAAAATAAATCAAAGATTTAACACATTGTCTCCCATTAAAAAAACTAAAGATTCAATACGAAAGCCCCATCTTCTACACTGACAAACGAAGATTGAAATGTGAGAGAAAACAAATATTTCAACAGCCACTTTCACTTGTCCCAGATGCTATGTCAGTTAAACAAGAAAGGAGAGTTGGGTGGAAGAGCACCTAATGGAGGCTGGAGCTTTCAAGATTGGGGTTTTGGTTTTCTTACTTTTACAAATAGGAGCTCGGATCTTGCTATACGTACATAATGGTTTATCTAACCGTTTACCTCTTCAAAGACAATATGAAGATGTAGGAAAATATCAAGCTAAAGCCCTTCGAAAATCAATCGGAAGAAGTGGTGTTGGGTGAATTAGATGAAGATAATATCGAGAATACTTGGGGATATGGTCTTGTTGGATATGTTGCCGGTAGATTCCCAGGGAAAGTGGCATTGCTCCAATTGTGTGATTCATAGAAGGTTAATTATAAATATTATGTGCACTCGAGCTGGTGGTTTGTCTTCAAATTTGAGACGGACTCGAAAAGGCTTAGTGTGTTGCATGGTGATCCCTACTTGATTTATGGGAGATCATTAATGTTAAAAGTCATGCCCTGCCACTTTGATTTTGATGACAAAGACGTTAGCACTGTGTCGGTTTGGATTAACTTACCGGGATTGCCATTGAAATTTTGGAACACGAGTGCCTTGGGTAAGATAGTTTCCAAAGTCGGTAAACACATCTCGACCGATAAGGTCGCGGCATCAAGGGGTTGGCTATCCTATGCAAGAGCCCTAGTTGAACTTGACGCATCTATTGAGCTTGTTCAGATGGTAAAGATAAGACTTCCTAATGGCATTTTGAGGGAGAAAGAGATTCTTTTCGAGCATGAACCAAAATTTTGTGGTTCTTGTAAAGTTTTCGGGCATTCCAATCTCGGTTGTAACTACAACAAAAAGGCCGTGGATGACAAAGGAAAGTCTATAAATAGAGAGACATCAAATACCTCCATACCGGCTGCACAAGAGGAAAACGTGCAGGCTGGAAAGAATTGGACAGCATCAAATTCTACTAAGATAGCTTCACAGTTTAGTGTTAGTTCGGCCAGAATTGGGGGACAGCAACCTAGGGGGAAGAACGGCCAGCAAGGGCAGCCCTCAAATTAAAATTTTGCAAAGCAACATGATGAAGATGTGGACGACCAGCAAGTCCAGATTCAAGACCAGGTAGACGCCCCTTTTGTTGAGGTAGTTAACCGAAAAAATGGAAAAAATTCAGCATGTATTACTCCCTCTCATGTGTCGGCAGATGAAGGCTGTCAAATGGAAAATTTGGGGAGCAGATTCTACATCAAATGTTAGAGGGGCAGATTCTAAAAAATCTAGCAATGAAAAGCTCAAAGGAAAGGTCGATGAGCAAAGGAAAGTGGGAACCAAAATTGACAAGAAGAAGGGAATTTCCCTCGCTTCAAAATCATGAAGATTGCATCTTAGAATATTAAAGGATTGAATCCCCCCTCAAACAAAATGGGATTCGAGATTTCATCAAGTGACATTGCATTGATGTTATGCGTAGTTTGAAGACGAAGCTTGGAGATCGAAAGTTGAACCGAATTATGCGGAAAAAATTTGATGGTTTTATGTAAGTCAACAATTTTTGCACTCATAGAGCCGGACGGATTTTAATCTTGTGGAATTCATCCAAAGTCAAATTGGAAGTTTTGGAGACTAACCCACAAGCCATCCATTGTATTGCTACTTGAAAAGTAACATCTTATACCTCTTTTGTTAGCTTTGTTTATGCGTTTCATACAATTGTTAGCCGGAGGCCGCTTTGGAACAACATCATGGATTTCAATGCAAATGTGTCATTACCTTGGATGATTCTTGGTGATTTTAACGATGTGCTCTAATTCGTTGAGAAAAACAATGGGGCAGAAGTAACTCCTTATGAAATTAAAGATTTTGCTAATTGTTGCCTTTATGTTGGCCTTACGGATGTGCGCTCCATTTGTTATCTTTACATATGGACTAATAATTCAGTATGGAGCAAAATTGATAGAGCTATGGTGAATGACATTTGGGTACAAAATGGTGCATATGTCTTTGCTGATTTTTTACCTTCCGGGTGCCTTTCCGACCATTCTCCATGCATTGTGTCCATTCAAGATCATATGGTGAACACTAGGAAATCATTTAAATTCTTTAACATGTGGACAAACCATGAGGACTTCCATGATATTGTTCAAGCAAGCTAGAATTTAAGTGTGGTGGGAACAAGGGAATTTATTCTTTGTAAAAAGTTACGCAAATTGAAAGAAGCATTGAAGGAGCTTAATGTTAAGCATTTTGGGCAATTTCTACTTGGACAAATGAGGCTAAAAGTGAATTGGAGGCTGACCAACTCATACTTCATGATCAACCTATGAACAAGCATTGTCAACATATGGTGGCAAGATTGGGAAAGAAAGCCATGGGATTATGTGAAGCGGAACGTAGCTTTTATTACCAACAAGCGAAGTGCATCTTCCTTAAGTAAAGTGATAAGTGTACTAAATTCTTTCACTCGGTGGTTAAAAGGAATACAAGAAGAAACTTTATTGCTTCTATTCTTAAAGAGGATGGGATGTATACTACTTCACAAGACCAAGTTACTTGAGAATTTGTCAATTTTTACACCAACTTGCTAGGAAAAAAAAAGAAGCCAATTTGGCCTATTGAGATGGAAATTATTAGCAATAGGCCTTTGGTATCATTGGAACAAGGCAACTCATTGATCCGGGACATTTCTAGTGATGAGATCAAAAAAGCTCTCTTTGGGATTGGAGATGATAATCTCCTGGCTCGGATGGTTGAACTTCTTGTTTTTTCAAAAAGGCATGGGGGACTATTGAACATGATTTTGTGGAGGCTATCATGGAATTCTTCTCATCGGGATCCATCCTCAAACAAATCAATCATGAAGTCATTGCTTTGGTGTCAAAGTCAAGTCATGCGCCTAGTGTTGGGGATTATAGGCCTATATCTTGTTGTAGTGTTATCTATAAAGTGATTACTAAAATCCTTGCTTCTAGATTGAGGCCTATCTCGGGAGACATTGTGGATCAAGCACAAGCCGCTTTTATTGAAAGTTGGAGTATGACGGAAAATATTCATCTTGCTGAAGAACTCATGAGACAATATAATAGAAAAAAGGGTAGCTTCGAGATGCCTCCTAAAAATTGATATAAGGAAAGCTTATGACTCGATAAGTTGGGATTTTCTTAAAGGTGTACTTGAAGGGTTGCATTTGTAAGTATTATGTCCTAAGTTCAATTAACTTTGGACATAAATACTTTTGATATATAATTAATGCAATTTAATGGCAGATATATTATTTAATTAATAGACAATTAAATAAATAATAGAGTCTGTAGATTTAAATCTTCGTAATTTGTTAATCACAAGGAGTTGTGATTGTGAGATACAAATTACATCTGATTGAATTTTAAATCATCCGTGGTCGTAAGTAATAACGAGATACAGATATCGTTATTACTGATAGACCATCACGTGTGACATTTTTTACTTGTGAAGTAAATAGCTGATCTCACAAGTTAAAGCGTGGTGACACTTAAATGACACGTGGATGTTTTGTTATAGAACAAAATATTGGAGACTCGCCGAGAGATTCCACATGAATAACTATCTGAGTGTCAGTGGTTAATCTCTAACGTTCGATAGTGGAATTGGTCATTTGACTTGAGGTCGTCATGGTACCTTATATGAGGACAGTCATACTTTGGGGGTGTTGGATGTTACTCTACAAAGGGTCGCTAATACGACATCGTTCGGGTATGTCAAGAATCATATGAAGGTTGTGATTGACCAATAAAGGATTAGTCACTCTTAGATAGTAGAAGATTATGATTTACGTTTCATTCAATTAAGTCAATAACGAAATCCTTGGCCAAGGTGTACTCATAAGTCGAAAATAAGTTTTCGACTTATATTGACTTAACAATGGAGTGAAAGATATGATCGATGATCGAGATTAACACACTTCCTTATCTCGTAATTGATCGAATCATATTGACGAAGGGATTATAGTTTCACGGTAAACGGACGAGTTTGGTTTTGTCACACCGCATGACATTTCCTGTCACATGTATTGCATTGACACATTGCTAGATGTCAATCAGGGATGACGAGTGTGAATTGACGATAAATTAAAAGGGTATTTTAATTTATCAATTTTGATTAGATCAAAATAATATTCCACGTCGTTAGACATCGTGGTCGGGAACATAATGGATCACACATAAAAGAGAATTGGAAGATTGCAAATTGCCAATTGGTTAATTTAACAATCGTTGGATAAATTAATTAATTGGATTTGTTATTTATATTTTTGAATTAATTAATTGGATTAATTAATTCATGGACCAGGTTTAATTAAATTGATTAATTAAATATTGGACCGGATCGGGCCAAACCCATCTGGGTTTATATAAATACATAACTAGGGTTTGAGGTCTATATGATTTTCATTATTCTTATTGGCACAAAAGAAAAAATCATTGCAGTTGAAATCTATTCTCTGTGTGGATTTCATTGGAGGCTGGACAATTGGACAGTTGTGGGAGACAGATTCAAAATTGCTGAAACGAAAAGAAAAGTAAAAGGTTTGCAGAATTCTTCAAAGGTACAATCTTTATCACGATTTCTATCTAAACACAAAGGGATCATCGGTGGGAATCGAAATAATTTTAATTTTTCGCTATGCATGTATAAGTAGATTCCCAACAGTGATATCATAGCATACTTTGTGTTTGTTAGGAATTGCTCTTTGATTGTTATTGTTTTTCATGTTTCTAGCAATTAAGAAAATTTATTATCATATTCAAAATTTGTTTTGAGATGAAAAATTAAATTTTTGTAAATTAAATAAATAAAAAAATGGGGAAGAAAATCGGGCAAAAACTGTCGGATGCTACTTGCTGGCGCTGCTCTCGTTGGTGCGCTGCCTGGCGGTTGAATGCAGCAGCACCGCACGCAGTAGCGTCGCACCCTGCGATGCTGCTATTGTAGCAGTAGCGCTGGCTGCCTAGTACTGCGCAGGGGAGATCGGCGCCGCCAAGAATAAAAAGGGAAAGGGTCAACGATTTCTTAGGGCTTTCAGATTGGACAATTCCTTAAGGTTTTCAGATTTGTGTTTGGAGATGGGGGCTTGGTCTGCAATTTGAGAAATTGTGCACCCTTGCCTGCAATTAAAGCTGAAGGGTCATACTGTAATTTTTTTAAAAGGGGTATGGTCTGCAATTTATGAAACTAGAAGGGGGCCACTTGCAATTATATAGTAAGGGTCAGTTTGTAAATTTTATATTAAGGGGCTCCTATGCAATTTCGGTAGATAAGGGCCCTGTTAATAAATTATAATTGGGTCAAATTGCAATTTCAAAAATTGTTTTGAATTTGAATTTTAAAATTTTTTTTAAAATTATATTTTGAATGAGTTTGACCTATAATTTTATTTTTGACCTAAAATAGAAATTTTATTTAAAATTGACGACGTTAATATTTTCGTTAAAATAAGATTTTAACTTTAATATTAAATTTTGACCCTATATTGAATTTTATTTTATTTAGGAGTGTTATCTTAAATTCAAATATTAATTCAATTTAAATTAAAGTTTGACTTTAATTTAATACTTAATTAAAATTTGATTTTAATTGGTTATTCACCCCGAATATATTCTAGAAGTTAGAATTAGATTCTAATTTGACATTTAATTAATATTTGATTTTAATTAATTTGTCCTGCCTTAAAATTTGACCCTAAATTGAATTTTATTTTATTTAGGAGTGTTATCCTAAATTAAAATATTGATTTACTTTAAATTAGAGTTTGACTCTAATTTAATACTTAATTAAAATTTGATTTTAATTAATTATTCACCCAAATATGTTATTGAATTTAGAATTGGATTCTGATTTGAAATTTAATTAAAATTTGATTTTAATTAAATATTCGCCCTAAAATCTTGAAATTAGAGTTTGACTCTAATTTGATATTTAATTAAAATTTGATTTTAATTAAATTATCCCACCCTATAATTGTTGAATTAGAGTTGACTCTAATTCGGTATTTAATTAAAATTTGATTTTAATTAAACATGCCCGCTTATTAAATAATCGATTAATATGATTAATTAATTATTTAATTATTCCAACTCATTTGTCTAAAAGAGTTTAAACGACTTAATTGCTAGAAACTTGAAACTAATTTGCATATAATATTAGATATTATATAGTTATACATTTATGTGATGAATGTATTATTAGCGGACGATTATGGACTCGACCATATGGATGTGTTGAATGATTAATTTTATTCTTGTTGTTTTCTGGGCCTGCGAGCCCGTTATTATTATTATTATTGTGGGCCTACGAGTCCAATTTCATTTAGACCTGCATGCCAACTAGTATAGGATACATGTT